GATCTATACAAAATTTCTAGTAAGAATTTATCTGATAAATAGAGACATATATTCAACCCTGGCAAATCTTTTAATTAGTTTCTTTTTTCCAAAGAATATATTTGATTTATATGAAATATTATTAGATAACAAATGTAAGCCTTCACTACTGAGAATTTATTTATTTGTTTATGATCACAGCTAACCACCATGCTGTACAAAGTTCCCCAGAACTTATTTATTTTATTACTCAAAGCCTGATCCCTATTACTCAAAGCTTGTCTATCCACTCTCCCAACTCCTAAGCCCTGGAAAACACCACTCTACTCTCTGCTTCTATGAGTTTGAACTTTTAGGTTATACATATAAGTAATCTTAACTCATGTCTGTCATTCACTGTCTGAGTTACTTCACTCAGCACAATTCCATGTTTTCACAAATGGCAGTATTTCCTTTGTCTTCTTTGCTAAATAATACTCCTTTACATACCTATACCACATTTTCTCAACCTATTCATTCATTGACAGACACTTAGGTTTTATTCATATTTTGATTTTTGTGAATAATACAGCAATTATCACTGGGGTGAAGATATCTCTTCCATATTCTGTTTTCATTTCCTTTGGTTATATATCCAGCAGTGAGATTGCTGGATAATAAGTCATTTTGTTGTTTTTGTTGATATTTTGACAAGCTTCCATATTGTTTTCCAGGTTGCTGGACCAATTTTCATTCCCATCTGGAGTGCACTGGAGTTCTTTTTCTACATCCTCACCAATACCTCTTAGACTTTGTCTTTTGATAATAGCTTTTCTAAAAGTTCTAAGCTGGCTTATAACTCAACATATAAAAAACTAAGACTGTGGCATCTGGCCCCATCACTCCATGGCAAATAGAAGGGGGAAAAGTGAAAGCAGTGATACATTTTATTTTCTGGGCCACAAAATCACTGCAGACAGTGATTGCAGCCATGGAGTTAAAAGACAATTGCTCCTTGGAAGGAACGCTCTGATAAACCTAAAAACCATATTAAGAAGAGAGATAGCACTGTGCTTACAATGGTCCATATAGTCAAAGCTATGATTTTCTAATAGTCATGTATAAATATTATTTCATGCTTGTATGCTCAGTTGTTCCTGCTCATTGCAACTTCACAGACTAAAGTAGTCCAGGCTCCTCTGTACATGGGATTCACTAAGCAAGAGTAATGGAGTGGGTTGCCATTTCCTACTCCAGGGGAAGATTTTCCAAGCAAGAATACTAGAGTGGGTGGCCATTGCCTACTCCATGGTGTGATCACTCACCTAGAGCCAGAAATATTGGAGTGAGTGTGAAGTTAAGTGGACCTTAGGAAGCATCACTATGAACAAAGCTAATGGAGGTGATGAAATTCCAGTTGAGCTATTTCAAAATCCAAAAGATGATGCTGTTAAAGTGCTGCACTCAATATGCCAGCAAATTTGGAAAAGTCAGCAGTTGTCACAGGACTCAAAAAGGTCAGCTTTCATTTCAATCCCAAAGAAAGGCAATGGCAAAGAATGTTCAAACTGCTGCACAGTTGCACTCATTTTACATGCTAGTAAAGTAATGCTCAAAATTCTCCAAGCTCAGCTGCAGTACTATGTGAACAAGAACTTTCGGTTATTTAAACTGGATTTAGAAAAGGCAGAGGAACCAGAGATCAAAATGTCAACATCCACTGGATTCTAGAAAAAGCAAGAGTTCCAGAAAAACATCTACTTCTGCTTCATTGACTGTGCTAAAGCCTTTACTGCATGGATTACAACAGAGTGTGGAAAATTCTTCAAGAGATGAAATACCAGACCACCCTGCAGGTCAAGAACCACCTGTGTGCAGGTTAAGAAGCAAAAGTAAGAAGCAAACATACAATGGACTGGTTCCAAATTAGGAAAGGAGTACATCATGAGAAATGCCAGGCTAGATGAAGTTAAAGGTGGAATCAAGAGTGCCAGGAGAAATATCAAGAGCCTCAGATATGCAGATGACACTGCCCTTATGAAAGAAAGCAAGGAGGAACTAAAGAGCCTCTTGATGAAGGTGAAAGAGAGTGGAAAAAGCTGGCTTGAAACTCAACATTGAAAAACACTAAGAATATGGTATCCTGTCCCATCACTTTGTGGCAAATAGATGGGGAAACAATGGGAACAGTGACAGACTTTATTTTCTTGGGTTCCAAAATCACTCTGGAGAGCAACTGCAGTCATGAAATTAAAAGGCTCTTGCTCCTTGGAAGAAAAATTATGACAAACACAGACAGCATATTATAAAGCAGAGACATTACTTTGCTGACAAAGGTCCATATAGTCAAAGCTATGGTTTTTCCAGCAGTCATGTATAGATACGAGAGTTGGACCATAAATGATGTGAGAGTTTGACCCTAAAGAAGGCTGAGCATCAAAGAATTGATGGACAAGACTTTTGGGAGTTCCTTGGTCTGCAAGGAGATCAAACTGGTCAATCCTAAAAGAAGTCAATCCTGAATATTCACTGGAAGGACTGATGCTGAAGCTGAAACTCCAATATTTTGGCCAACTGATGTGAAGTGCTGACTCACTAGAAAAGACCCTGATTATGGGAAAAATTGAGGGCAGGAGGAGAAGGGCCAAAGAGGACTAGATGCTTAGATGGCATCCCTGTCTCGATGACATGAACTTGAGCAAGCTCGGGAGATGGTGATGGGTAGGAACACCTGGCCTGCTGCAGTCCATGGGGTCACAGAGTCGGACGCAATTGAGTGACTGAAAAATGCCATGAGATCTCCTGACTCAGGAATAGAACTGTATCTCCCACAGCAACTGCATTGGCAAGTGGTTTCTTTACCACTGAACCATAAAGAAGGCTGAGCACCAAAGATTTGATGCTTTCTGATTGTGGTGCTGGAGAAGACTCCTGAGAGTCCCTTGGACTGCAAGGAGATCAAACCAGTCAATCATAAGGGAGATCAATCCTGAATATTCACTGGAAGGACTGATGCTGAAGCTGAAACTCTAATACTTTGGCCACCTCACGTGAAGAACTGACTCACTGCACAAAACCTGATGCTGGAGCAGATTAAAGGGAAAAGGAGAAGGGGTCGGCAGAGGATGAGGTGGTTAGGCATGTATTTGAGCAAACTCTAGGAGATAGTGGAGAATGGAGGAGCTTGTCATGCTGTAGTCAATGGGGTCACAGCGTCGGATACAACTTGGTGACTGAACATCAACAACAATTCTAATAGGTATGAGGAGGGATTTTGACTTGCATTTCATAATGCTTAGTAACATCAATCCCCTTTTCAAGTACCTGTTGACCATTTATATGTCTTCTTTGGGCAAATAGGTATTCAGTAACTCCATTCATTTAAAAAAAAATTGCTGTTGAGTAATATGTGTTACTTATTTCTTTTGTATATCAGTCTATATTAGATGTGTAATTTTCAAAATATTCTCCAATTTTGTACATTGCCCTTCATTTTGTAAATCATTTATTTTGCTGTGTGGAAACTTTTGAGCTTGATATAGCTCCACCTTTTGTTTTGCACTGGTTCCTTATATTGTTGGTNGAAGGGAAACAAAATGTTTTATGGATATGGGGTTTCTTTTTCTTTTGCTGTGCAGAAGCTTTTGAGCTTGATATAGCCCCACCTTTTGCTTTGCATTGGTTCTTTGTATTGTTGGTGTCATATCCCAAATTTTGTTGCCAATACCCTTGTCAAGAAACTTTTCCTCCTGTTTGATCACAGGAGTTCTATGGTTTCAGGTCTTATGTTTAAGTCTTTAGTCCATTTCTAGTCAACTTTTGTAAGTAATGTAATATACAGCTCCAAATTTCATTCTCCTGCATATAATTATCCAGTTTCCCTAGTACTACTTATTGAAGGGATAACACTTTTCCTATTGATTATTCTTCACTTTTTGAAAAATATTATTCAGCTTTATATATGAGGGTTTGTTTCAGGGCTCTCAATCCTGTCCATTCGTTTGTATGTCTATTTTTATGACAATATCATCTGTTTAAAATTACTATAGCTTTGTAATACAGTTTGAAATAAGAAGTGGGATGCCTCCAATGCCTCCCAATTATTTCTTGGGACTGCTTTGGCTGTTTGAGATGTCTTGAGGCTTCATACAAATTTAGAATTTGTTTTTCTATTTCTGTGTCCCAGGAGGCCTTAGAAATTGGTCACTCAATCCATTCTTCTTTTCCTACCAAGGAATTCTTTCTAGCTGAGAGTTCTCTCTTGGTGTTGAGCAACACTGGCTTGAGGATGATTCTGGTAAAATAAAGCTGTCATCATTTTGTTCTTGTGTGATTTATCTCATTTTTTTTTTTTTTTTTTTGGTTGTTGTTCTACTGTGTTGCCTAAATTTCATACATGGACTTTAGAGCATTCCCAGAGATGATTTTGTTCATAGATAGTGTCTAATTGTTATTTTCTGCCAGGGAACAAGGAGGCTAGGGTCTTCTCTGCCTCCATTTGGATCTCTCAATTTTACTTCATTCTCTTTCTCTAGTTTTAATTTAAAATATACCAATATAAAATATTTTAAATTAACAAATATAACTCTATTTTTACAAATATCTTTCTATTACTTTCTATTTATAAGTTAGCACAAGCAAATAGCAGAAGTTTCTAAAGTGTTGATGGTTATAACTACATGAGGAAAGCTGAGTGGCTATGTTTTTATGATTTTGTTATATTTCCTAAATTCTTTATAATGATAATATCTGCAATTTTTAAGAAATAAAAAGTACTATTGTTAATTAAAGAGCTTATATCTTTTTAACAACAGATAATTTTCTTTAAATAAATGTAGTATTTCTTTGAGGTTGTAATCTATCACTCAGTAGTTGTAGGTGACAAAATAATTTCACAAAATTTAGGAAGTATAAAATAATCTTATTTGATATTAGCTATGCACTGCTAATTATGTAAAAGTTATCAATTTATAATTGTATAAAACTGATTATTCCTTCGAAAAACAAGAGGCTTCTTAAAAAAGTATGTATTCTCTACTCACAAAGGGTTGTTAATAACTGCTTTCAAAGCTCTAAGCAGATCTGCACTTGTCATTCTTTGCAAGTCTACTTCAACAGCTGCCCCTTTGGCTTTCATATGAACAACGTTATCATGCTGATCACCAAATATAGGAATTCCAACCATAGGGACCCCATGGTAAATAGCCTCATAGATTCCATTGGTTCCACAGTGAGTGATAAACGCTCTGGTTTTGGGATGTCCTAAAAATTAAAAAAAATATATTATTCTAAATTGTAAGAGTGTCAGAAACAGAAAATCATGATACCTACATAAGCCAAATTCTATTAGGTAACATCGTCTATATAATTCTGTGCCATGAGAACACATATAAATTCTTATGGGCTCTGAAGAAAGCAGCAATTAATTACTCCAAGCTAAGTATAACTTGTGATTCCAGCAATTAAGTCATTCCACAGACAAGTAAGAAGTTTCCTGCAGAATATATGATGGATAGTACTTGCCATTTGACAAATTATTACAGGAAGAATATATCAATAAAAACAAAGGGAGGGACTGTAGAAACCAAATATTTTTGAAGATGGGAAAAGGGAAGTGAGATGTGCAGCATTTCAATATGAGAATGTTGGCATAAAAAGCTAGAAAGATAGGTTACATCAAGTTCATGATGTACTCTGTTTGAGAAAATAGGATTTGCACTTGACTTTATACTAATATGCAGCCATTTATATTTTACATGAAATATAGGTGAAATTGATTGCCAGATTTTTTTTTTTTCCTGTAGAGAAGAGAGGTAGGAAAAAAATGGATGAAGAGCATCAGGAGTGTGTTACAATATTCTATACAAAAGTTAATGAGAGCCTGATCTAAAAGTATTTTCTCTGACATTGATCCTGAGGAGGGAGAGATTATATCATAAATGCTAGAGTTATAAACTTGATATTTATGTTAGAGTTTGAAAAAGATCCTTGACCAGGGTCTAGTCAGGTTCCTCTGAACTCTTCTTAACTAGAATTTGATTCTGTGGCTCCACTATCTCTGCATTGCCCAATGTTAGCAAGCATTCTACTAGGTCAGTTGAACTCTAATTTTCCATCCAATGAACTTCCACTATGTTCTTTTGTGACAAATTCCCCACTTTTCCCTTCTGCATAGAGAGTTGTGTCCAGACTCTCTGTCTTATTCTAAAAGTCCATTGCACTACTAACTATACTTATCATGATGGTCTTGAATAAAGTGTGCCTTAGTCTTTAAAAAGTGTCATGAATAATCCTTTTTAACACAAACTCCTGAAGAAATGTGAACAAAACATTAAAGTTTCTTTTTTCTTATTTTAAATAAAAATTTATAGGATATCTTTTATTGAGTAATCATTCAGATTATACTTCATTCATCTCTGTTTATTTTTCTTCTCTTTGGTCTTACCAAGAAGATCATTTTGTGGAATCCATTTATATAGTCGGGTATTGGCTCCTAGTCTTTCTGGTTTCTTTCCTGTGTATCTCCACAGAACCTATTAAGATGAATGTCTTTATTAGAAAATTTTTAGAATCACATCCTGTCAGAAGTTAACCTATGATTAATCAGATTTGATGCCTCCAGGTAATACACAAGCAAACTGAGTCCCCAAGTGATTAGGTAATGAGTGTTTAAAAACCATTAACATTACAACCATGTTTTCAAAGGCTTGCAATAATCCTAATCAATAGCCTTTCATCTTAAGGTTAATTCTAACTTAACCAGATGAAGAAAAATGATGAAGATGTAGATGAAGAAAAATGACAATCTGCATCTGAAAGAACTACATACTGGTGTTAGTAGGGCACTCTGGTAAAGGGGATTTTTGAGACAAAGATTTCAGAGGCAAAGGGGAGGGATGTTTATTTACCTCTTTTGAACTTATTTTTTTACATACTTACCCGTAACATAGACTCATAAAGTAAAATATTCATAATTATATTTATCATTTGAAAATATTGTAAGTCTAGAGTTTGGTGACATTAAAACATTTACAATGTTGTGTAACCATCAGCTATTATGGCATGGCATCCAGTCACACAGTCGTGTCTGACTCTTTGTAACCCCATGGACTGCAGCCTGCCAGGCTCCTCTGTCCATGGGGAGTCTCCAGGTAAGATTACTAGAGTGGGTCGCCATGCCTTCCTCCAGGGGATCTTCCTGACCCATTGGGTAGGACCCAGGTCTCCCACATTGCACGTGGATTATTTACCAACTAAGCCATCAGGGAAGTCCAATCAACTCTACATTTACCTCAAATACTTCCATCATCTATACCATCAACTCTGTATCATTAAATAACTCCCTATAGCTCTCATTCCTTATCCCCTGATAATGCCTGCCCTACTTTCCATCTCTATAAAATTGGACTATGCTAGGTAACAGGTGGGCTTCCCTTGTAGCTCCATTGGTAAAAGAATCTGCCTGCAGTGCAGGAGACCCGGGTTCGATCCCTGGATTGGGAAGATCCCCTGGAGAAAGAAATGGCAACCCTTGTATCCTTGTATCTGAGTATCCTTACCTAGAAAATCTCATGGACAGAGGAGCCTGGTAGGCTACAGTCCATAGGGTCGCAAAGAGTCGGGCATGACTGGGCGACTCACACACGCACACACAGGTAACAGGTACAAGTGGAATCATACATTATTTGTATACATAAATCATACCATATTTTTGTTCTTCTGATTTAGCATTATTTTATTTCAGGGATCACACTTGTTTCAACATACCATAACTTCCTTTCTTTTTAAGGTTGAATAATATTTCTTTATATACACGTATGTATAAATATATATATAGGTAAATAAATTACAAAGCACAAATAGAGGAATAGGTGTAGAGAACAGATGTACGGATACCAAGGGGAAAGGCAGATGGGATGAAATGGGAAATCGGGATTGACATACATACACAACTGATACTATGTTTAAAGTAGATAACTAATGAGAACCTTATGTAAAGTACAGGGAACTCTACTCAACGCTCTGGGGTGATCTATATGTGAAGGAAATCCACCAAAAAGTGATATATGTATACATATAGCCGATTCACTTTGCTGTATAGTAGAAACTAATACAACATTATAAAGTAACTATACTAAAACAGAACTAAAAATAAATAAAAACTATTAACCCTCCAAAAAATAAAAAACAAAATAAAGCAAATTCTTTATCCATCATTTTTCTGACCTGAAAATTGTGGCTCTGACTTGTTCAGTCGCTCAGTTGTGTCTGACTCTTTGGAACCACATGGATTGCATCATACCATGCTTTCTATCCTTCACCATCTCCCAGAGCTTGCTAAAACTAATGTGCATTCTCTGTTTGCTCCGTCTCATCCTGCCTTCAATCTTTTCCAGCATCAGGGTCTTTTCTAATGAGTCAGCTCTTCACATCAGATGGCCAAGATATTGGAATGTCAGCTCCAGTATCATCCTTACAATGAATATTCAAGACTGATTTCCTTTAGGATTGACCGGTTTGATCTCCTTGCTGTCCAAGGGACTCTTAAGAGTCTTCTCCAACACCACAGTTGCAAAATATCAGTTCTTCAATGCTCAGCTTTCCTTATGGTCCAACTCTGACATCCATACATGACCCCTGGAAACACCATAGTTTTGACTATAGGGACTTTTGTTGGCAAAGTAATGTCTCTTCTTTTTAATATGCTGTCTTCATTTGTTATAGATTTTCCTCCAAGAAGCAGGAATCTTTTAACTTCATGGCTGCAGTCAAGATCAGCAGTGATTTTGGAGCCCAAGAAAATAAAGTCTGTCACTGTTTCCATCTTTTCCCAATCTGTTTGCCATGAAGCAATGGGACTGGATGCCATGACCTTAGTTTTTTGAATGTTGAGTTTTAAGCCAGCTTTTTCACTCTCCTCTTTCACCTTCATCAAGAGGCTCTTTAGTTCCTCTTTGCCCTCTGCCATAAAAGTGTTGTCATCTGCATATCTGAGGTTATTGATATTTCTCCAGCAGTCTTGATTCCATCTTGTGCTTCTTCCAGCCCAGTGTTTCACATGATGTGCTCTGTGTATAATTTAAATAAGCAGGGTGACAATATACAGCCTTGACATACTCCTTTCCCAATTGTGAATCAGTCCATTGGTCCAGGTCTGGTTCTAACAGTTGCTTCTTGACTTGAATACAGGTTTTGCAGGAGGCAGATAAAGTGGTCTGGTATTCCCATCTCTTGAAGAGTTTTCCAAGTTTGTTGTAATCCACACAAAGGTTTTAGCATAGTCAATAAAGCAGAAGTAGATGTTTTTCTGGAATTCTTTTGCTTTTTCTAGGGTCCAATGGATGTCGTCACTTTGATCTCTGGTTCCTCTTCCTTTTCTAAATCCAGCTTGAACATCTGGAACTTCTTGGTTCATATACTGTTTAAGCCTATCTTGGAGATTTTGAGCATGACTTTGCTATCATGTGAAATGAGTGCAATTGTGTGGTAGCTTCTTTGGCATTGCTTTCCTTTGGGATTGGAATGAAAACTGACCTTTTCCATTCTTGTGTCCAGTGATGAGTTTACCACGTTTGCTGGCATATTGAGTGCAGCACTTTAACAGCATCATATTTTAGGATTAGAAATAGGTCAGCTGGAATTCCATCACCTGCATTAGCTTTGTTCATAGTGATGTTTCTTAAGGGTCACTTGACTTCGTGTTCCAAGATGTCTGGCTCTAGATGAGTGATCACAACATCATGATTATCTGAGTCATTAAGTTACTATGCCTATTAATGTACAAATATGTGTTTTAATCACTGATTTCAATTCCTTTCAATATATAGCCAAGACAGAATGTCTAGTTCATATGATCCTATGTTTAACTTTCCAAGAAACCATAAAAATGTTTTTCACAGCAGATGCATCATTTTTGCTCCTAGTAGCAGTCTACCAATTCCTAGTTCTCTACATTCTCACCGACATGTTATTTTCCTTTTTTCCCTTCTTTTTCTGATAATAGATATCCTATTAAATGAAGTGTTAATTTTACATGCTTTTGATTTTCATTTCCATAATGATGAATGATCTTGAGCTTCTTTTCATATACTTTTTGACCATTTGTATATTCCATGAAGAAATCTATTCAAGTACTTTTCCATTTTTCAATTAGGTTTTGTTGTTGTTGTTGTTGTTGAGCTGTAGCAGTTTTTTTACATATTGTACACATTGATTCCTTACCAGATACATAATTTGAAAAGATTTTCTCACAATCTGTACATTTTATCTCACTTTTTTGATAGTATGTTTTGATGCACAAGGGTCTTCATTTGAAGAAGTCTAATTTATATACATTCTTTCTGCTTTTGCATTTGTTGTCTTACCTATGAAATCATAGCAAAATCCACTGTGATGAAGTTTTCTCTCAGGATTTTCTTGTAAAAATGTTATATTTTTACTTCAAAGTTTAAGTCCCTGATAGATTTTGAGTTGATTTTTCTGTATATGTTATAAGGTGAGAGTCCAATTTTCTTCCTTTGTATGTGGGCATCAAGGTCTTTTCTGCTAGTCTTCTGGTTCTTCTCATTAATAGTTGCTCTATAAATTTTTGCTCTTTTGGTGTGCCCGAGGGAAGAAGTGAACTTAGCATCTTCCTACTCTGCTGTTTTGGCTACACTTCTATCCTAGTTTCCTGTAATCCTTTTTATATTTATAACACCATTAGTAATCTCTGTAGGTTCATTTCTGACTTTATTTGCATCTATTCTTTTTTTTTTCTTTTTGCAAGTTTAGCTAATATTTTGATAATATTGCTGATGTTTTCAATCAACTAGCTTTTGGGTTTACTGATTTTCTATTTTTTTATCTTCTTTTAATCTCTGCTCTAATCTTCATTATTTGTTTCCTTCTACAAGCTCTGGGTGTAGTTTGCCTTCATTTTATATTTCTTTAAGGTATAATATTAGATTATTGATTTTAGATCTTTCTTCATTTTAAACATAGGCACAGACAGGTATAAAGTTCCCTCTGATCCCTTCTTCCTCTGAATCTCTTGCTTCAATCTCTTGTGTTTTCATTTATTTAAAACATATTTCTAATTTTTCTTGGGATTTATTCTTTGATGTATTTATTAACATCAAAGCATACAAAAACTCTGCTCTTTAATATCTCCATTCAACTTTTTCTGTAATTGATGTCATAAATTACATATTTAATCAGTGTTCCTAATTGCATAAATTATAATTGCTTTATGTATTTTATTTTAATTGAGAAAATAAAATAAATTGCAGTTACAACCAAATTTAGAATGAGATCAGCTTTTAAAATTACTTTTTATCTTACCTTTACTGAAGCCATTTATGTCTTCATGTGGTTTGCTTTAATATCTAGCAGCTTTTCATTTCATCCAAAAAGAGTCCCTTTTGTACTTTTTTTTAATAGGCAAAGTCTAATGGTAATGATGTACCTCAGCTTTTGTTTTTCTGTTAATGTCTTAATTTGTACCTCATCTTTGAAGGAAATTTTGTCTGATGAAATTTTCAATTAATGTTTTTTTTTTCTTTCAGCACTTAGAATTTATCAATCTACTGCCTTCTGGCTTTCAGAATTTCTGATGAGAAATTTGCTGATCATCTTAGTGAAGATATAATTTATGTGATGAATTACTTCTGTCTAGCTCCTTTCAGTCTCCAGTATTCTTGTCTGGAGAATCCCAGGGAAGGCGGAGCCTGGTGGGCTGCCATCTAAGGGGTTGCACAGAGTCGGACACGACTGAAGTGACTTAGCAGCAGCAGCTCCTTTCAGTAATTTTTCATTGTCTTTGGCTTTCAACAGCTTGAGTTTAATATGTCTTTCTATAGATCTTTTTGATTTTATCCTACTTGAAGTTCTCTAAGCTTCTTAAACTTGCATATTCATGAAGTATCTCATTAAATCTGGAATATTTCATGCAATTATTTCTTTAATATCCTTTCTGTCCATTGCTCTTTTTTGAGAAGTCCTACATTCTCTATGATTATTTAAAAGGAAATGTCCCACAAGTGCCTTAGGGTTCATTTTTCTACATTTATTTTTCTTTCTGTTCCTCCACTTTGATAGTTTTGATTATCCTTTCTTCAAGTTTGCTGATACTTCTGCATAGTCAGGCCTGATCTGGAACCCATGATATGAATTTTTCATTTCAGTTATTGTAATTTTTTAGCTCCAAATTTTTTGGGGGGTTCTTTAATTTTTCCCCTTTTTCAGTATTTTACTTACTTCCTACTTCATTTTATTCTCTTTATTGTTTTCTTCTTGCCTGGAGAATCCCTATGGACAGAGGAGCCTGGTGGGCTACAGTCCATGGGTTNGCAGCCAAAGATGGAGAAGCTCTATACAGTCAGCAAAAACAAGACCGGGAGCTGACTGTGGCTCAGATCATGAACTCCTTATTGCCAAATTCAGACTTAAATTGAAGAAAGTAGGGAAAACCACTAGACCATTCAGGTATGACCTAAATCAAATCCCTTATGACTATATAGTGGAAGTGACAAATAGATTCAAGGGATTAGATCTGATAGAGCGACTGAGGAACATTTGTTTCTAACCTGATTTAATTATTAGACAGGCCAAAGGAATCTAGAAGGTTAGAGGTAAATTAAATTACCCACCCCTACTTTAAGGAATCAACCAGTCTTATCTGATAATAAAGAAAACACATAACTGATATTGAAAAATATACTCACTTTAGGGTGACGTAAAGACTCACCACTTTGGTTATTCTCAAAAACAGCCAGAACATAACATATGGGTTACAAGAGAAAATAATTATCTTAAATAAATAATATTCCATATATATATTTTTTTTTCCCTACCATAGCAACATGATTATAATGAACTGCTATAGGACTGATTGCAATGGCAACCCACTCCAGTAGTCTTGCCTGAAAAATCCCATGGATGGAGGAGCCTGGTGGAGCCCATGGGATTCTCCAGGCAAGAATACTGGAGTGGGTTGCCATTTCCTTCTCCAGGGGATCTTCCCAACCCAGGGATCGAACCCAGGTCTCCCACATTGCAGGCAGACGCTTTAACCTCTGAGCCACCAGGGAAGTCCCAGTGTATAATAGATGACCTGAAATCCTTATTGGGTGAAATAAAATTATTGTTACTAAAGGCTCATTTATTAAAGCATATTTGAGGTATGTGTGTGTCTCTGTGCTTGTGCGTTTGTGTTTACAAATTATTGACTGCCTGTTATCTTTTGCCATTTGCTGAGCTCTTTACATGTATCAGTTAACTTAGATATATGGTGATTTTATGAGATATGTATACATTTACAGATGGGAAATCTATCCCAGTAAGGTTAAGTAATTTGTACAAGTCTACACAGCAGTAGCTGGCAGAGCAAATTTCTACCTTTAAGTTAAATAGTTCAGGTGATGTGCTGTATATTTAGCCTTAGATGCTAAGATTATCTTTCACTTTTCTGATGAATCACAGTCAATACAATGATACGATTTTGGTATATTTACTTTTCTCTGTTTTCTAAATTTCTATTTTCTTTTATTTTGATTATATATATATCTTTTTCATATAAGTTTCCACATACATGATTAGGAATGAGGTAGCCATGTAACATCTGACCAGACAAGTAATGTCAAAATATCTATAAAGCACACTCTGAGGATTATAGGAATATACTAGAAATATATAATTTTGAATTAAAAATAAAAACAGTATACTCAATCATACTAAAATAAAAATAAGTCTTTTCATCCTGTGTTGAGATGCTAGCAAAACTAAGCCAATTAAATAAGATAAGAAAAAAGTGTGTGAGGTTTGAAATGGAAAGACAGGGAAGAAATTTATATTAAGGGATTTCTCACATGGTTATGGAAGCTGGCAGGCAAGTTTAACCTGCAGAATAGCACATTAGGCTGGAGACTCAGAGAAGGGCCACTGCTGTAGTTTACATCTGAAGGCGGCCTACAGGTAGGATTCAATCTTTTGTTCTTGTCACATCTTCAACTAATTGGATGAGGCTTACCCACATAATGAAGAGTCATTTGTTTACTTAAGGTCCACATACTCAAAAGTTGATTTCATCTAAAAAGAGCTTCTCAGTAACTTCTAGAAAAATGTTTGTCTAAGTAGCTGGGTACTTAGCCAGGCAGGTTAACAGATAAAATTAGCCATCACACCATGTTTACAGATGATTTGACTTAAGATATAATGTTATCTTTATGTTCAATTATAGCATAGTATTGGAGAAGGAAATGGCAATCCATTCCAGTATTCTTGCCTAGAGAACNTTAAGAGATAAATACTCATAGCCAGGTCGGGAAGATCCCCTGGAGAAAGGAATGGCAATTCCACTGAAGTATTCTTGCCTGGAAAATTCCGTGGACAGAAGACCATAGCATGCTACAGTCTATGGGGTCGCAAAGAGTCGGATAAGACTGAATGACTAACACTTCACACTTCATTCATGTAGGAAAATAATAAGCACATTTAATTACCTTAGGTAGTGGCTTTGCAGGCTTGCAGTGCAGTCCTCCAACAAACTCAGTATTAGGTAAGTAAGGTTGAGGAAATTCAAAATCCCAGTAACTTCGAAACAACCACATGTCAGCTTTCCCCATTATCTCACATAGTGTGGTAGGTTTTCCTGAATAAAAATGAAGGATAATAGAGGGAAAGGAATCTGATATGTTAAAAGAGAGATATATCTTCACCTAATTTTCTAACTAAATTCTTAAAGACCAATACTGAGCCTATGCAATCCATGTTAAATCAATTGGCCTTTTACCCTGAAGAATACACATAGTCAAAATATGAAAAAGTAAGCACAGATTTAAGTATGGAATAAAACCAAAAGCCTGTTGCTTCTCTCTGTCAATGGAGTCTTTCATCTTGAGCTAAGCCTAACCCCACTCATGTGCTTCTACTAAGTACAAGAAACAGGCAGCAATCCTCAGCCTTCTGTGGTAGAGTCGCACCTTCTTTTCTGGAATTCCAATTCATCTCATCCTCATTGTTCCAAAAGTCTCTGATTATGTTGAAAAACAACTTGTGCTTTACCCATCTCTTTTCTACTGTTTCCAAGTGTGCTATTACAACTAATTATGTCCTGAGTGCTTTTAACACAATTCTTAAAGTGACTGTCTCCTTTGTTATCACTAATGAAAGTTCTTATTTTACAAGATTTTTTCCTCATTGGTGAAGATATTGCACTGCAAAATAATCTGGTGGTGAAATAGTTTCTATTTTATAACAAAGCTTACCCAGCTTTTGGTGTCTTTTTGAAATATGTGCTCCATGTCACTGAGTGGAGGAAACCATAGCTATCTGGTTTCTCACCACCTGACTTTTTGAATATTCTCCTTGATGTTCTAAGTGTGCTAAAGTTTTGATTAGAAAATATAAGGGATTTGAACTCCTAGGAAGATGCAGCTGCATAAGAGATCAAGGCAAATCTCAGTAAATGAGAGGTTTTATTCTGGTAACAACAATATCCAGTTTCATACTCAGCACATATCTTTAGGAAAATGTACATAGGTTTTACTTTATCATTTTTTTTAAATTTACTTTTGAGCTAAAATATATTGAAGTTAAATGTTAACTGGGAATATTTCTGTCTGGTAGAAAATACCATCTCCCAAATTTCAATTTTATTGCTCTTATAGGATATTTTTTGACCATTGTTTTGTCTAACTAGACTTTTATTCTAAAATTCCTTTATCCCCTTTTTATAAGATTTATAAATAGCTTCTCAATTTTTTGTAATGAATGCTGGCTTTCTTGGTTTTTTCTCTCATCAATTATTTGAACATATCTATGACATGTTTTAAAGAATAATTTTATAAATTATGTGTTATATTTTTAAAATTTGAAAAACATTCTTGCAATACATGACATAATGAAGATTTTAAATTCTGAATAACTAAATTATATTTATATCTTAGAACATTTTAACATTTATGAGAGTAAAAGAAATATGTTTCTTCTATTTATCAAGTTTTTACTCTTCTTCTCAGATTATTGATATATTCCACCAAAAAATATTCTAAGTTGCTAATAACTATGGAAGAATCAGGGACAGAGTAATACCCTATCACTAAGACTTCACTCAAAAAGATGTTCCTAAACTGAGTGTCAGACTGCTGGGACCATGAGAAGGAACTGGCAACCCACTCCAGTGTTCTTGCCTGGAGAATCCCAGGGACAGAGGAGCCTGGTGGGCTGCTGTCTATGGGGTCGCACAGAGTTAGACACGACTTAAGCGACTTAGGAAGAAAAAAAAAGCATAGTAGTCATAAGATGCTAGGAAATATTTTATATAATACATTTTCATGTGTAATGAATAGTCTTTGAACAAGAAAAGAAAATATTGAGGACTGCTTCAATCAGATAGTAATGCATAATCCAAAATAAAGGCTACTCACCTTCTTACTGTGGTGTATAGTCTAAGAAAATAATGACCATTGAATTCTATGTCTGTTTTCTCTGTTTGGGGATCAAATATTGTTAACCATAAACCAGAAATCATTTTAAGAGATAAATACTCATAGCTGGAGAAGGGAATGGCAATTCCACTCCAGTATTCTTTCCTGGAAAATTCCATGGACAGAAGACCCTGGTGGGTTACAGTTCATGGGGTCGCAAAGAGTCAGATACAACTGAGTGACTAACACTTCACACTTCATTCATGTAGGAAAATAATAAGCACATTTAATTACCTTAGGTAGTGGCTTTGCAGGCTTGCAGTGCAGTCCTCCAACAAACTCAGTATTAGGTAAGTAAGGTTGAGGAAATTCAAAATCCCAGTAACTTCGAAACAACCACATATCAGCTTTCCCCATTATCTCACATATTGTGGTAGGTTTTCCTGATTAAAAATGAAGGATAATAGAGGGAAAGGAATCTGATATGTTAAAAGAGAGATATATCTTCACCTAATTTTCTAACTAAATTCTTAAAGACCAATACTGAGCCTATGCAATCCATGTTAAATCAATTGGCCTTTTACCCTGAAGAATACACATAGTCAAAATATGAAAAAGTAAGCACAGATTTAAGTATGGAATAAAACCAAAAGCCTGTTGCTTCTCTCTGTCAATGGAGTCTTTCATCTTGAGCTAAGCCTAACCCCACTCATGTGCTTCTACTAAGTACAAGAAACAGGCAGCAATCCTCAGCCTTCTGTGGTAGAGTCGCACCTTCTTTTCTGGAATTCCAATTCATCTCATCCTCATTGTTCCAAAAGTCTCTGATTATGTTGAAAAACAACTTGTGCTTTACCCATCTCTTTTCTACTGTTTCCAAGTGTGCTATTACAACTAATTATGTCCTGAGTGCTTTTAACACAATTCTTAAAGTGACTGTCTCCTTTGTTATCACTAATGAAAGTTCTTATTTTACAAGATTTTTTCCTCATTGGTGAAGATATTGCACTGCAAAATAATCTGGTGGTGAAATAGTTTCTATTTTATAACAAAGCTTACCCAGCTTTTGGTGTCTTTTTGAAATATGTGCTCCATGTCACTGATTGGAGGAAACCATAGCTATCTGGTTTCTCACCACCTGACTTTTTGAATATTCTCCTTGATGTTCTAAGTGTGCTAAAGTTTTGATTAGAAAATATAAGGGATTTGAACTCCTAGGAAGATGCAGCTGCATAAGAGATCAAGGCAAATCTCAGTAAATGAGAGGTTTTATTCTGGTAACAACAATATCCAGTTTCATACTCAGGACATATCTTTAGGAAAATGTACATAGGTTTTACTTTATCATTTTTTTTAAATTTACTTTTGAGCTAAAATACATTGAAGTTAAATGTTAACTGGGAATATTTCTGTCTAGTAGAAAATACCATCTCCCAAATTTCAATTTTATTGCTCTATAGGATATTTTTTGACCATTGTTTTGTCTAACTAGACTTTTATTCTAAAATTCCTTTATCCCCTTTTTATAAGATTTATAAATAGCTTCTCAATTTTTCGTAATGAATGCTGGCTTTCTTGGTTTTTTCTCTCATCAATTATTTGAACATATCTATGACATGTTTTAAAGAATAATTTTATAAATTATGTGTTATATTTTTAAAATTTGAAAAACATTCTTGCAATACATAACATAATGAAGATTTTAAATTCTGAATAACTAAATTATATTTATATCTTAGAACATTTTAACATTTATGAGAGTAAAAGAAATATGTTTCTTCTATTTATCAAGTTTTTACTCTTCTTCTCAGATTATTGATATATTCCACCAAAAAATATTCTAAGTTGCTAATAACTATGGAAGAATCAGGGACAGAGTAATACCCTATCACTAAGACTTCACTCAAAAAGATGTTCCTAAACTGAGTGTCAGACTGCTGGGACCAGAAGTAAACAAACAAGTTCAACCAAGTCATAGATCAATCAAGGCTTAATCCATGATCAGAAAATGTAACCTAGATGAGATTTTAAGTTATTTTTTTCTTAGTGTTGCCTTTTGTAGCTTGAACTCTCAACATGGATGTGTGATGGTTTCTGCCCACATCTTATAGGGCCATGTCTAGAGATATAAGCACCTGTTTCTGTCACAAAATGCCCAGAAGTTTCAGTACAACATGTCAACCTTGATTAGGTCATATGACTTTTTTTTTTAACATATTGCATATTGCCAGGCAGCAGAGTTCATTAGAAGCACTCATGTTGTTTGTGAGATGTTGAAATATTTCTCAGAGGAAATATTGATTAGATAGTCAAAAAAGGAAGTGACTATATAAAATAAGAGATTATAGCTATAATTTCTTGACATTTTTAGGAATAAATGCAATTTTTAGTAAAGATAGGGTATTAGAGATACATCTGTTAAAATTAGTAACAAGGAAAATAATAAAAGTTCATATGAAAATGAAAAAATTCCAAGTGGACAAATCATTCCTGAGAAAGAAAAACAAAGCTGTAAGGCATCACACACTTTAATTTTAAAGAATATTATAAAGCCATAGTAATCAAAACAATACATAGGTTTAAAAACAGTCACCAGGTCTGTTGGAAGAGAAGCAAAAGCCCAAAGATAAACTCATGCATATTTAGTCAATTAATATTTCACAAGGGAGCCAAAAATATTCAATGAACTTACTCCACTACAAAATTATATTAAAATGGATCAGGCTTAAATATAAGACCTAAAACCATAAAATTCCTCAAAGAAAACAATGGGAAATAATTCTTGACATTCATCATGGCAGTGAATTTAAATATGACACCTAAAAAAATAAAAAAATAAATATGACACCTAAAGTATAAGCAACAAAATTATAAATGAACAAGTGGAACTGCTCACAACTAGAAGTTACTGCACACTGCACAGAAAAAAAGAAAAATGATCAACAAAAGAAGAAGGCAGCCTATTAATAGAGAAAAATTTTGCAAAGCATAAGTTTGTGTATGTGTTGTTATTGTTGTTCAGTCACTCACTCATGTATGGCTCTTGGCGACACCATCAACTGCAGCACACCAGGCTTCCCAGTCCTTCACCATCTCCTGGAACTGACTCAAACTCATGTCCACTGAATTTGGTTGGTGATGCCATCCAACCATCTCATCTTCTGTGGTTCCCATTTCCTCCTGCCTTCAATCTTTCC